CCTGGCCTTACCCTAGAGCTTCACTCCCTTCCCCCTGGACTACTGTATACCGACTACTTTTCTGAACTTGTAGTCTTGTCACACGACGGTCGTGACCATTTTTTGTCACCGAATCAGCGAGTTCGGGGAACTCGTCTAGTCGGGGGAATTATTTTGTATTTTTAGCAGTTTACCACGGTTTTCACCAACTGTAATGTAAATGTCCACCCGCCTTTTTTATTTTTCAACTACACTGCCAACAAATTCCAGTTGTGGAGGTCGTCTTTACTATTTATGCAGCACCCTGACATTCGTATTTTGACCCCACTACCTTAGATGGTGATCACGGGCTCTAATTTTCATCTACCAAAGAAAGTGCATTTGATGGTGACAGTGTTATATAGAAAAATAGAAAAATAAAATATAGTAGTAAAAAATTTAGCACTCACTATGTTACTACTTCTAATGCCACTCTAATGAAGTCCGTTACCGTATATTTTATCGACTTTCTTCTAGAAGGAATGTAAATGCAATGTAAACATTGCAATCATTCACACTTGACTAGCGCTCGCGTGTTAGAGAGGTCTAATTAACGCCAACACAGTGGAGCCGGTATCTGAAGATAGTGATTCAGTAGAAAATTAGCAATACTGAATAAGACCTACAGATCGTAAGAAACCAGCAAATTCTCGAAAATGACATGCCGAGGTTAACAAAAAACGGAGCTGGCTCATTTCACTTAGCATTTTCTGATGAGAATTGTCATGAGTGGCTTCAATCACTTATGATCGTCCTGATTTGTTCTGTCAAAAAAAATGGAAGATTGGTTAGATTCAAGACTTTACTCATGAGTAAGACTTAGCTCGAGTATCCTACCGATTTGGCACAAATAGGGGTTCGGCGTGGCCCATAATTTTGCTAGTGTTCCTGCTTTGCACGATCTTCTTGGAGAATTCGTTCGTACGCCTTACCTATCACTAAGTGGTGCCGCTTATTATTCTCTACTGTAAGAGCTAGGATCAAACCTGGTTTCATCTAGTTTCACTTGGGCCTAGGTCATGCGCCCGGGGCTCTTATTTAGATCAACCACTTCGTCCCCGGAATAGCCTCGGCTAGTTACGTTTGCATAGGCTGATCCTTTCTCTCATATTGCTGAACTAATCCTGTTGCTTTAATAGCTTTACCAGAAAAATGTCGTCATTTCCTAGAGCAAAGACATACGTTTACAATTAATTAATTATGAAGTTATTAGCTATGTGTGGCCTTCCCTCTTCCTCTAACGCAGGACTACAAGTGTAAGGCTCACCAAGCTAACCTTATCGTGTAACCGAGGTGTCATGTGGGAGAGCGGTTCTTAAATGCATGGCTAGTTTTATTCCCTATATTTTGCTTGGCTTGTATGGCTTCCTTTATCTCTTGCCTATCATTAGCTTGGTATATCTAGCGGTTTGTTTGTTTCTTCCGTGTTCGATTTTTTTCTTCCTAAGTTTTTTTGGGCTGTTAACTGTTGTTTTTTTCGCTGTCGATTGTGCACTTCACTCGCTAACAAATAAGCGAACAAATAAATAAATATTTCCAGTACCCGTAGCTACAAAGAATGGTTGGCATATTCGTGAACAGGGTCCCGGGCCGCCCCTCTCAAGCAGTTCAGCAGGGTCTTTGTTATCAGTTTTCGGGATAGTTGTAGTTGAGTAAATTATAAGAAACCAGTCGCCTCGCCGGCTGACGCCGGCGCGGCTCCTTCTGATACGGCCCGGCGCCGCGCGTACCTTCTCTCACATATTTCTAGACTCAACTGATATCCGCCTTTTGTTCTGTACTCCACTTTTCTCCGGTGTCTGAAGTACTCTTGAGCTATTTTACAGATTCTTCGTCTGACTCCGCCCACCTCAGAGCAGACCCCGCCCACAATTTTTGTGCCCCACACTCTTCACCGGCGACCCTCTGCTGACCTTAATCCACTTTTTTCCGGTGTCTGAAGTGTTCTGGAACCGTTCTGCAGAATTTTTGTCTGGCTCCGCCCACCTCGAAACAGGCTCCGCCCCAATTTTTGTGCCTCCCTGGCGACCCTCTGCTGACCTTAATCCACGTTTTTTCCGGTCTTTGAAGTGCTCTGGGACAGTTTTAGAGAATTTTCGTCTGGCTCCGCCCACCTCGGGCTGGCCCCGCCCACAATATGTATACCCCACATTTCTCAATCGGCGACCCCTTGCTGACCTGAATTCACTTTATTCCGGTCTTCGGAGTGCTCTGGAACCGAGCTACAAACTTTTAAAATGAGTATCCTGCGGTTTAGGGCAAGCTCCGCCCACTGTGGGCGGATCTCAACACATTTTGAGCGTGCCCAATACTCGCCAGATATTTACATTCTGCACTGAGCTTTTTGCGGCTTCTGAACACTCTCGCGAACCGAGTTACTGAGTTTTGCGAGAAGCACCGCCCACCTTGAGTACGCCCCGCCCATTTTGGATGTGTCTGCCACAGTTAGTCTGGCGACTCCTTACTAACCTTATTCCCTTTTTCCCCATCTTAGGCTGCTCCGGAAGCGAATTATGAACATTTTTCTGCGGAACCCCAAAATTTCAGCGAGTGCCCGCCCACTGTGGGCGGGGCTTCGCATAGGTCAAGTGTGCTTTTTATTTCTTGTCCCATGCTCTACCCATCCCCACCTTGACCCGACCTCTCCAAGTCGTTCTTCAGGTCGAACCGAATTTCCGGACAGACAAACAAACTTACACAAACAAACAAACAAACAAACAAACAAACAAACAAACGGACGAAGCGAATTATATATAGGGTGATAGGGTGATTCTGTCTTCCATCCCAATTATATTAATTTTACGCCTCTCCACTGTCTTGCATAGCGTAGTTAGAGGTTGGTGCACTGATCGAGAATTTGGACTTCGAGAACTGTAGAATTTTTTTTCTTCTGTAAACCATGCTGTCAATCTACTACTGGTTCGACATAATATTAAAAAAATATTTATCCACTAGATGTTGATACCATAGCTCAATACACCCGTGATATCACTCCAGAAACCACTACAATCACACAACTTGAGCTTCGAAGTAATAGGGGAAAAAAGAATACAAGTCATAGTAGTGCCATAATGCTATCACGCGAGATTTGACTCGCATCGGAAAGGAAATACTGACTAGTTTACTAATTGAATTTTTCCCGACATATTCGGAAAGTGACAACGAATACGAACCTAACTATAAAGTTACTAAAGTCAAAAGGGCGACACATAAAACGATGCAATTTAACGAAATTGATGATGATGACGATGTATACCCGGGAACATAGTAGTGAAGTAGCTGGTCCAGCTCACTGACATCCGAATGTCGTAGCACCGGTTCATTCGGTATGAATAGTCGAAAATGCAACATTTCATGAAATCGTAGACGAGAGTACAGTGATGATGTGTGGAATTCGCTGAAGTGAAGAGTAATTGTTCAATAATAATAGTATAGAAAATGTATTCGTTAGTAACTATTTGTTAGTCCTTCATACGCTTTTTCGTTGTGGTTCTGGTAATAGATGTGACTCGCTTGTGTTTTCATACGAAATTTTGAAAAAATCCTTATAGGAATATCCGACTCCGGTGGTTTCCGCTGCAGACGGTGAGAGGGGTCAGTGGATGTAGCGCAGCGTCAGCCCGTTTTCCACCAAGTGTTGAGGCGTACAAATGACCAGTTGGTCGAAAACATGTTGGCGCCGCGCCAAACTCACCTCCCGCTACTCTTACAAGCCCCAGCAAAATGGCTACAGTTCAGAATGGACGTATATCTTTAGTTCGAGTCACAGCGAGCGCACGAAAGTAACCTGTAAGCAGGGTTATCGGGATACCCAATCGATTGGGCACGGCAGTGCTGGGTTTGTCAACTTAACCATCTTTGAAATACTTTACTAGTGCACTGGAAGAAGTGATCTGCTTTAAGAACATCGTGGTCGCAGGATAGCGGGCAGGTAGCGTAGTTATTCCTAGCTGGTTACATTGAAACGCGTGGGATTGTCTCGCTGAACCATCTGGGTGTTGGTGAGAATGCCACGTATGTGGCACCCTAGAGATTCCTTCGGGCAGCCGTCCACAATTTGGATATGCTCAACTGCACCCCTTATACTTCGATGTGAAAGAGATGAACGGGGAAATCCCGGAGAAGTGTCATCGCCATTCTCCCCCATTTTGAAAAGCCCAAAGGAAGTTTAGTGAAAGTTGTTCCCACTTTTCATGGATCGAAGATAATCAAGAAGCCCTTGATGCGCTCAGGTCTCGGCAACTCCAGCAAACATTGTGCGACTAATATAAACTGCGCATGGCTAAGCTGTTGGGTTCACTACTTACTAGTCTCGTCTATGCCCGCTTATTGCACCGCAATATGTCAGAATTGAAGAAGTACTACCGATAATCGTTACCTGAAAGGTGCAGGAAGGCTGACATTGTTGCACCTGGCTGAATCGGAACATAAGCATGTGTTGGATTTCTTCGATACCTAAAAATGGCAATACTCAGCTTCTATTCATAAGAGTTAACAATCTTAATCATGTCTAAACATCCGTTACTGATACTTTTTAGAAAAATTAAGAACTATCTCGTTGGAACATAGGTTCTGACGGATTTTCCCACGTTCGTTTCCATTTGTCTTGAAGATGCTTAGATATACCAGTTTCACTTTTTTTCAAACCAAATTCACCCCTTTTCAAACCAAATTCACCCCTTTTCAAACCAAATTCACCCCTTTTCAAACCAAATTCACCCACCTTCCAAATCGAATTCACCACACTTATTAGGCTGCGCAAGTCATCTACCAAATCACGCCAGACACTACTGCGGGCCCCGCCCCCTCGGCCACGCCCACTTGCTTTTTGCGGAATTTTGATATTTTTCCAAATTTTTGCATTTTGGACTGTTGCGTGAGCCCCGCCACTGTTAGGCTCTGCCCTACTTTGGAGAAGCCCCACCCACGTTTCCAAAAATGGTGTGAATCGCAGTAATAGGTCTTGACTTTCAATGCGAGAGTCTGCGTTCGTCCTCGGAAGCAAGAAATCAGGCAAAGTTTGTTTTTTGTTTTTGTTTTGTTAAACGGTTCAGGTTAAAAACTATTCACTTTCACTCTTTTGTTTCTCACTCAAGCCTGCTTATCTGTGTGCACCGAAATCCTCGCTAAAGGCAGCATTCTAATGTCCGGAGTTAGTTTGGCTCGCCCTTCCTTACTTTCTCCAATCGCCTTGACAGGTCTGCGTGTAGGACAGGTCTCGGGGTAGGGGTGGGGGCGTTTGTTGCCTCGTTAAAGGGAACTGCCATGTAGAATTTGTGACTCACATTAAAGCTGGAAAGGCCGACGGACTCTGCGTGGATCTGTTTTTCCAGACGAGGTCCTACTATGTCCGCATCATTACGATATACCGCCCTCCGAATTCGACCAAAGCTGATGATGATGCCCTGATTGAAGTGCTCGGTGATCTTGTGGCAGTGCGCTCGAGCACTGTGGTCCTTGGAGATCTCAATCTCCAAGTTGACTGGAGTAGTTCGAGAGCTCTGAATTCTGCTGCTGCTGCTTACATGAACTTCTTCCGTGTGTCTGGCCTCAGACAGCATGTTATGCAACCCACCCATAATGGAAAGGTCCTTGACCTCATACTTTCCACGTCACATAACATCTCGAATGTTTCAGTACTACCTCCGCTAGCTACGTCAGATCATAACGTTGTTTCCTTCGATCTTCTTGAAGAGTCTAGTTCCCATTGCCATGTTCCTAGGCCAGATTTCTTGAGCACTGACTTTGCTGCCCTCAACAACTTCTTCTTAGGCGTGGATTGGTGGGCACTTTTTGATCAGTATTCCTCGATGGATGACATATACCAGCGATTCTGTGGGGTGGTTTACAGCGGGCTTGCTAAAACGGTTCCATTCAAATCCGTTAGTGGATCTGGTCCTAAGTATCCTCGTCATATAACTAACTTACTCCAGCAAAAGCAACGCCTCTTCTCTGAGTTAAGCTCTCCTCTCGGAAGCGCACCTTATAGAAAAGTTTGTTCTGATTTAGATCACCATTTGAGAAAGTTCCTCGCTAACTATGAGCGCCGGCTTGGATCCCATGCTTCCTTACAACGGCTTTTCCATTACTTTCGGCGCAAGCTGAAGCCAAACCAGTTACTCCCCACACTATCTGACCACACGGGTAGGGTTTACCGTAGTGACGCGGACAAAGCAGAGGCACTCGCTAACCATTTCTCTAGTATTTTCACGTCTAATTTCTCTCATGAATGGAACCTCGCGTGCTTCCCACATGTTAATGATAGTCTCACGGAGGTTTTCTTTGATCCTTACGCGGTTTCCATGATCCTAAAAAAGCTCCATCCCTCAACTAGTGAACCTTATGATGGGATCCCACAAATAGTTTACAAAAAATGTCACTTTTCGCTGTGTAAGCCTCTGGCTATGATGTTCAACCTCTCCTTCCTAACAGGTGATGTCCCTCAGCTCTGGAAAGATGTTATTATCACTCCTATTCAGAAGTCCCCCAAGTTATCCACACTGAGCAACTTCCGCCCAATCAGCCTTGCTCCCACTCCTGTTAAGGTGATGGAGAAAATTATAAAT